AGTCCAATATTCAATTTGTCAGTCAGTGCCATGTCTACAAAGAAGCTTCGTCTAGCTTCTGAAACCAAATGTCACATATGCACATGTTCATACCCACCCACACACTGCTCCAGGATAGTCTATGTTCTGGTAACCCTGTAAATTCCCTTCCTGGTCCTTATCACAACTTGTGGACATATTTGTTTCTAAGATTATTTGGTGTATGGTTTATTGCCAGTTACATTGTAAGCTCCACAAAGGCAAGGACCTGGTTGTTCTGTTCTGGAATGAGTGGCTGTAGCTGTCAGCTGATCTTGCTCTTCAGGAGGTAGCTCACCAGTGTGTCACAGCTTGTTGGGTGGATATGACAGAACATGAGAGGATTTTAGCTAGAGGGAGCAGCATAGGTTAAAGTACAGAAGGGATGAACTAGCTTGGCAAACTAAACTATATGCCACTGTTTAAATAGAAGGGGGTGTGATATGAAAGGGGGACATAAACCAAGCTAAGACATAAGTGGCTGAAGATGTAGGATAGGTCCAAATCCTGAAGGGTCTTATGAGCCGTTGTAGGCAAGTTGGATTTCATCACTATTGACAGTGCTAAGTTATAATAAGAGTTGTGCATTAGAAAGACCCCTTAAGTAGCAATAGGTAAATAAAGCAGAAAGGCACTGCAGGAAGAAAAGCCACTTAGGGGGCTGCGGGAGGTCCTTAAGTTCTCTTCCAGGCGATGAGACATCACAATTTGACACAACATACCCACAGGTAAGGCATAAATTCACACAGATGAAGAAGCTTGGGATCAGAGACACAAGGGCCCCCAGGCTTAGAGCCCCCCACCCATGCCTCAGCATCATCACATAGTTTAAGAAGTATGGAGAAGTTGGTGAGATCGATCCTGAAATAAAGTCATAGCAGTGGAAATGTCCATGGTGTTCATGAATGCCCTGGGGCAAACCTAGTGTGTCTTGAGTCTTCCCAGTAATGATGGCAGCAATTGTCAACATCCAATCCTCTCTGTGTCTTTCTGCTGCACATGTCGGGGCCAAGCTAGAAGGTATATCTGGCTCCCTTGACCTATTCTACCCTGCTATCTGTCTGCGTTATGTACTGAGAAGTTTCCATTAACTGAAAGTACAGACATCACCAGTGCCCCTTCCCAATAATGACTGGATAACACTTAATCGGTGGCTCCTCTCACTGGAGGAAAGAGCCATTGCTCCTCAGTGTGTATAAATTATTCCTTTTTCCTTCCCGTGGTATTTCATGAATTTGATAGAAGCATCATTAGTCATTAACGTGTTCTTTCAGGGACAGTTCAAATGCCTTGCTGTGACTTGCATTGGAACTGAATATTCAAAAACTAATGAACAAGCTGGGTGCAGTTACATTCTAGAGGCTGAGGCCAGAGGATTGCTGCAGTGTGGGACCAGTGTAGGCTACATAATACAGATCAACCTAGGCTACATAAACAGATCAACAGGATGAGACCTGGCCTCAAAGCATTTGACTTCTAGCATTATATGTGCTTCGTGAAAGGAAAAGAGCTCAAAGGGAAATGCAATGCAACACTGACTCAAGCATCCCAACACAGACGTAAAAGATGACTCACCATGGGGAAGAATCAAGAATTTTAGACGAAGCTTGGAGCCTACATAAGGTTTTTTTTTTTTAAAGCTACATGAGAAAAGCCAACTAAAGAGCAACAGGGACAGGGCTGGGCAGGTGCCTCAGTGTTAAAGGGTAGTTGCTGCTCTTCCAGAGGACCTGAGTTCATTTCCGAGCACCCACATCTAGTGGCTTACAGCTACCTGTAATTTCAGCTCCAGGAGAGCTGACACTTCTTGTGCCATCCTCAGACACCTGCACGAATGATTGTATGCTAACATGCAAATATATAGACATAAATCAAAATAAGTCTTAAAAAAGAGAAAGAGGCCAATGCAAAGAGATCACAGAACCAGAGCACAGTGTCACCTCACAAAAACAGAAGCCATGAGAAGAATGACCAAAGCAGAAGGTAATCACTGTTGACAAAAGCATCAAGGTTAATGAGAAGCCTGGGGAGGGAGGATTATGTGTTCCAGGCCAGTCTGGGCTGCATAGTGAAATCTTGTCTCAAAACCAAACCAAACAAAAATATACCATGTTCAGAAGTGGTTGTGCATGCCTGTAATGCCAGCACTAGAGAATCTGAGGTATGAAAATTACCAGGATTTTGAGGCTAGCCTGAGCTACATAGCAAAACCCTGTCTCAAACAAACAAAAGTAGTAAATTACAAGGTGTATTGAATAGATCAAACTATGCCCTGTAAGCTGACTTCAACCCACCTCCTGCCTCTATAAATATTAATTCTAACACAGTCACAGACATTTGTTTAGCTTACAGATTATCTAGGGCTATTTTCACACTATGGTGGAAGTACTGTTTCAACAAAGCCTGGGCGGCTTGTAAGGTCTAAAATATTTATACTCTAACACTACAAAGAAAATGCATGAAGTGGGGCATGGTGGTGGAAACCTATAATTTTAGTGTTTAGAAGGCTAAGATAGGAGGATCTCAATTCAGAAACGAGTTTGAATTAGGATCCTTTATCAATAATACAAACAAATTGTCTGGAGAGGTGGCTCAGCGATTAAGAGCTCTGACTGTTTCTCCCAAGGACCCAGGTTTGATTCCCAATACACACATGACAGCTTAAAATTAGTAGTAACTCCAGTTATAGGGAACCCAACACTCTCTTCTAGTCTCCAAGGTCACCAGGCAAGCATGTGGTGCACAGACATACATGCAGGCAAAACACTCATATGCATAAAATAAACTAAAGGGGAAAATTAAAATAAATCAACAAATAAAAGCAAAATGTAAAAACACATGCTGACCTCTGCTCTGAATGAATCAGTCTATGTTGAGCTTAACCTACATGTTGGGTTCCTAAGAGCTAGCAAAGAAAACTAATCTGACTCCAGCCACCAGCAACGATTTGGATTCAGAATTGTTCCTAAGGTGACAGTAGCAGCCAAAGGCAGATGATCTAGTTGTTGGTTGGGTTTTATGGAGTACTCATGAAGGCCCTTCGTTTTCACTGGTGAGCTCCTAATCATGCCTTTCCTGGACTGCTGCAGTCACCTCCTAGCTGAGCAGACAAGGCATGTTCCCTCTTAATTCTTCTGGGCTCTTATTTTATGGTGCTGGAAATCAAGCCTAGGGCCTTGCTTGTATTAGGCAAGCAGTCTACTACTGAGCCATATTCCCAGTTTGAAACAGGGTTTATTTCAGCCCAGGCTGGCCTCAAAGGTGACCTTGAACTCCTGATCTTCCTGGCTTCCCCTCCAAACACTAGCCTAACGAGCATGGCTACACCTCACCAGGTTTCTATTAGCTCTTAATAATGCCCTCTAGTAATCCTAAAAGGTCATGGTTACTCATAGCCCATGATTTTCTCCTCAGCCAGTCTCCACTTTGATTTGATCCAGCTTACTCACATGACACCTTTGAAATGATAGAACGAATTTGAAGTTTTTAAAATGCACTACTGTTTTATGATTGCAGGGATCTCTGAAACAATTAGGGAGTTAACTCCAGGATCAATCAACAGTGTGATAATATTTCCCATTATGCTTTTAGGAAACAGCAGCAATTGGGGCCAGGGGAGTGGTTTGATTGTACAGTGTTTGCCCAGAATGCACAAGGTCTTGTATTCCATCTCTAACACTGCAAAAGAAACAATAAAAACCCTGTTGATATGAGATTTTCTGTAAAAAAAAAAAAAATGAACAAGCATCTTTGGGGTCAAATAAATTTGGAATACTAAAATCTTTGACATTTCATGTGATATTAGTTAATATATCATAGGATATATTAGTTAATATATCATAGGACCTTAGAATTCCCCTAGCAAAATTATCTGCATAGCTTGTTTAACCTACCACCTTTAACTCCAGTCCAAGAAACACCAATCAACTGCCACATGCCTTTAATCCTAGGCAGATCTGAGTTCGAGACCAGCCTGGTCTGCAGAGTGAATTCCTGGACAGCCAAGGGCTACGCAGCGAAACCCTGTCACATAAAAGAGAAAGAAAGAAACACAATAAGAGGTTGGAGAGATGGCTCAGTGATTAAGAGCACTGGCTGCTCTTCCTGGGTCCTGAGTTCAATTCTCAACATTCACATGACAGCTCACAGCCATCTACAATAGGCTCTGATGCCCTCTTCTGGTATACAGACATTCTTACATGCAAAGCACCCATATAAATACATACATACATACATCTTTAAAGAAAGAAAGAAATGCCAATAAACTGGCACGGTGGCTCATGCATGTAATCCCAGCCCTTGTAAGACAAGGACAAGAGGATTGCTATGAGACTGAGGCCAGCCTGGGCTACAAAGTGAATTCCAGACTAGCCAGAGCTACGCCAATAAAAGAAAAGAAAAATCAGTGGCCATTTCCAGCTACTTTGGAAAATGTGGGAAATAGAAGGGAGATCAGGAAGGCCAACTGGGACTTAGGCCAGAAAGGTTTTGTTCCTAAAGTCACAGGACTCCATTGTATAGAGTGTCCAGAGAGCTCCTCTGGATGTTGCCAGGGCATATGGAGAGGAGCAACAAATACTTTATGCAGCCAATGTGCTTACATTCAAGGATATTCCAGGCCATCACTCAGCCTAGCCTAGATTCCCAGCTTCACCCCCACTCTCCCAGCTGGGCTCTGACAAACACAAATACAGCCACACAGCTGTCACATGACGTTACATAATTTTAGTCTTTTTCAGTAAAGGTGGTTCATTAAATGTGTGAGTCAAGGTCTATTTAATGCTGATACCTAGAGAAGCCGTTACTACAAAGGAATATCCATGACAGAGGAAATTGCCTGGCCATGAACCTCAAGTAGGGTTGGAATGCATGGTTCCTGTAACTACTCAAGGTGTCTTTAATTTGTTACTGTCCTCCCAGAAATGCACCTGCCTCTCTCCTGCCTTCTCATGTCTTCATGTTTTGAACCATTTCTTCCACAGCCTCTGGTGCTGTTGATGGAGTGGCCTGAAGCCACCAACTTTGCCTGCCTGATTGCGGGGTACTGCCGCCTTCTGCTGGATTCCAGGAAGATGGTCTTCTCCAGGCCTGCCAGCCAGCCTCTTCCGCCTCCTATGATAAAGGCAGGTAGGGCTCAGCCTCAGTTTTTGGTGTGCTTGAGACCCTCTGGACTCTGAAGTCACAGAGGGAATGATTCCATTGCCCTAGTGTTCAGCAGGCACCAATAGTGTCAGCCTGTTTAGCAGCAGCCATTCAGTGTAGCACACACCCTACTGACACACACACCTCACTGGCAAGCACATATAACATTCACATGTACCTATTCCCACAAAGGATGCCTGTGACAACACACTGTAGTTGAGCCAGTGGATGTATGTAAGACGAAAGTAGCAATCACATGATAGAGCCAATTAAAGAATTGCTTTGCAGGGTGGGGGAGCTGAAGAGATGGCTCAGTGGTTAAGAGTTTCGACTCCCAGTACCCACACGGCAGCTCACATCTGTCTGTAACTCCAGTCAGGGGATTTGACTCCCTCACACAGACATACATGCAAGCACAATACCAATGTGAGAAAATAAAAATAAATAATTAAAAAAAAAGAATTGTGTTGGCCAGGTATCATAGCACATTTTTGTAATGGTACATGATTATAATGCCAGCTACTAAGGAGATAGAAGCAGAAAAAGTTCAAGACCAGCAAAGGCCATATAGAAAAGGCTTTTCTCTAAAAGGATTATATTGAGTCTAAGGGGGAGCTTTAGTAACCTGGGAGATATTGTGCCTGTTCTGGCTTCACTGAAGTAAGACCTTCCTTTTTGTTCATCATATTGGGGACTGACAAAAGTGTTGGAAATATGAAGGCTTGGAGTGGGGGCCACTGGGCATACTCAAAAGATGGCTTGGAAATACAATGGGAAGTTCATAAAGAGCAAACGCAGCGTCTAAGCAGGAGGTGTCCCAGTTAGGCAACCTAGTATGGCTACTTCTCAGAGATGTTCTCATGATGGTATGGAGGCCTTGAAACAAACAAAGCTGTCCTTCCCAAAACAAGTGGGAGAAGAGGAGGGTGAACAGAGAGCTGGGTGCTCCCTGTGTTAGACCTCAGGCTCACCTATGCACCATAAGTCTTCCTAGCCCAAGCATCACAGACAGAATGTAAATAGCACCCAGGATTCACTCTGCCATAAACTGAACACTTGATCCACTCACCCTTGCCATTTGACTTTTATTAAGCCTTCAAGACCTTCCTAGTTTGGGGTCACCTGATGGAGATCATGGTATCTGAGAGTAGAAACACATTCTGGCAGATGACTCAGCACCTAACAGGCTGAGTGGCATCCGTTTTCACATTGTTCTTTATCAAGAACAAGTCTATCACATGCATAGCAGATCTCATAGCTCTGTTCACAGCGATTGAAAGGCAGTTCATCACATACAGACTCAGGAAAGGATCGGTGGTCCCAAAGGAAGGGGTGTCCACATAGTAGATGAAAAGAAATGGATTGGAGCAGAAAGAAACTGGGAGTGAGAGTTTGCATGGCTCGAGAAGATTAACTCAAATGTGCTTTTCAAACATACAGATGGTCAAGTGTTGGAAAAAACCATCCTTAGCATTCTCAGTGTCACCTGTCGTCCTCTGGCTAATCATATCCAAGTAAATTGTACCTCTCACTGAGCAGAAGGGGAAGGGAGAAAAGAAAGGAGAAGGCAGAAGGATGAACCTGTAGCCAGTCAACATAGGACCAGGTGGAACAGTGAGAGGTGTTTGGGTGTCCACTTGGAGAGGGCAGTGGATGTGGTTATGTAACCCCACTCTGGGGGACAATTATCTGCCATGCTATCAGCACCCTACCCAATGCTGGTCGCAAATATCTCCCTTACTATGGAGATTGTGGCCCTAAGTGCAAGACCTGGGCTGCATTTGTCCCTGAAACCTCACTGAACACCCTCCTTGTGGCTTCCTTGCTGCATTTTCAAAGTTACACCTGCTTTACTGGATTCTCTTGGAGCTAGGTATGAGTTTCACACTCCATCCTCCAAGTCTCCAATTCCTGAGGTGCGTCTTGCACACATACAGACTGGCAAAAGTTCAGGACTTTCTTAGCAAATAGGTCTATATCTCCATTTAGGAGCCAAACAGACCACTGGAGGGTCTCTTCTATTCATAATGCTTCTGTTTAGAATGGAAACAATTAGCTCAGGGGCAGAAACAAATAGAAATACTTTGTTCCTCTTTGTTCTTCTGTCCAGAGAGATATGAACTTGCTATTAATATCACCTCCATGGAGGCTGGTGATGTGTTTGGGGGCCAGTTTCTTGTTCTTCTCAACTGTTGGGTACCAGGTTGACATCAGCCACTGACAGAATGTTCTTGCTGTGCAAGGTGACCCTCCTGGCTTGACCCAAATTCAGAAAAATGACAGGCTGATATGCACATCATTTATTGTGCCCTCTAAGAGAAGGGTGCCACTGAAGAGGTTAAGCCCAAACTACAGTGGATTAATAGTTCCTCCTTGGTCTTGAAGACCTTTAAGATCACCATCTAAAGCTGAGATGGCTTTCTTCCATCAACTCTCACTCTAGGGCAGAAATTCCAGCACCCACCGTGGTACTTTAGCAAAGTCTGTATCAGAGAGGCATCTAGCCATACCTAGTGGCATAGGCATACAATCCCAACTTCTTGGAAGGTAGAGGCACAAAGATTGCAAGTTCAAGGTCTGCCACACATCAGGGCTACAGAGAAGCAGCATCCTCACAACTTCAGCTGGGCTCTTCCCAGGGACCAAAGCCACAATCCCCTCAGACCATGGTCTCTGTGGAAAGGAGGAAGAAATCTGGCCTCACAGAAGCTGTTGACTACCAACTAGCCAAGGCCAGTGCTCAGTCTACTAGGCCAAATGAATGCCATTAACCCAGCAACAGGGGAAGAAGGCCCCATGTGTTGCAAATTTGGAAAAACAGGAGCATGGGAGAGTAGCAGGGAAGGAATGTGTTCCCTCAGAGTACGTGAACAAAGCAAGTATTTCACTTATTCAGTAAACAGATGTTTCTCAAGGACCCATCATGACAGACATTGGGAATACATAACAGCTATGATGTTTTTGGTGTTTGCCATCACTAGCTTACAATCTACTGAGTAAAATATGGACAGATGATCCAGAGATGCTGCCAATACAATAAGTAACTTGTCATTTACATAGAAAGTGTGCAGCTGTCTTAAATAGCAACTGCATTTGAGAGCCAAAAACACACTAAGGTGGCAAGAAATCCAGAAGCAGGGCCAGCAAGATGGACCAGTGAGTACAGGCACATGCCACCAAGACTGAAGGCTTGAGTTCCACCCCCCACCCTGCCCCAGGACCCACATGTCAGAAGAGAGCCAACTCCCACCAAGCACAAGATGGTACCCACGTACCTACATGAATGCACACAGACAGACAGACAGACAGACAGACACACACACACACACACACACACACACACACACACACACACACACACACACACACACAAAGTGGTGGAAAGAAATAAGGAAAGGAAGACAAGAAAAAGATCCAGAAGCAGCTGCCATCTTTCCCCAGCTCAGGAGGTCCCATTCAGAACCTGCAAGAAACTCACTCTACATTTTCTAACATATTTAGAAACAGTTGATTTGCTACACTGAATATTCTTATTTTACATACACATATGTGTATATGTATGTGCACACATTACCAGTTTTCATGTACATATAACCCAGCAGGCTGAGTGTGGTGATTTGTGTCTGTAATCACAACACCACCCGGAAGGCTGGTGTAGGAGGGTTACACATTCAAAACCAACCTAGGCTACAAAATGAGATCCTATTCCCACCCCACTCCCAAAAAAACACCCAGCAGCATTCATAGAAAGTTAGAGTGCCAAAAAGAAAGAGGTTGAACATAATATCCTCTTCTCTTTTTTCTTTTCTTTTTCTCTTTCTTTCTTTTTTTATCATTCAGAAAGCCTATGAGGTTCTTGTTTTGTTTTGTTTATTTTTGTTTTTCGAGACAGGGTTTCTCTGTATTGCTTTGGAGCCTGTCCTGGAAATAGCTCTGTAGACCAGGCTGGTCTCGAACTCACAGAGATCCACCTGCCTCTGCCTCCCAAGTGCTGGGATTAATGGTGTGCACCACCAAAGCCTGGCTGCCCGTGAGGTTCTTGCAAGGCTTCTATGTCATGATTATAACCAATGAACTCAGCACTATAAAAATATACCAGGGCCAAGTCTTGAAAGCTGCTTGAGTCTTGTGTTGACTGTATGTATAGTGTAAATGTCTATATGTCTTTTGTATATATTATATATTCACAGCATTTATATTTTAGCATAATTCTAGTTAGTTCACTGTCATGCTCTTTGCAAACATTTTTAAGTTGACCTTGTGAGTGACTGAGTACAGGCAGATAAACTAGGGCATCCCTACCCCCCTGCTTAGGGAAAGCAGATGAGCAATACACATAGATTTACAATGTGAGAGGCAAGCTGTCCCAGCCATCAACCAAATGCACCTGACTTTACCGGCACTTCTAACCTGCCTAGAGGAGACTTAGGACAAATTCTCTCCTTACATCTGGAAGTCTTAATACCAGCGTTGGGCTAGACATCACTTGATGTTGGCAGTGTAGTATAGGAAAATATTTCTTCCTGCAGAGAAGGTAACTGCCTTTAGAATTCCAGTCTTTATCTAAGAGAGAATAGTAGTCACTTGCTTATTGGATATGACATGGGAGCCACCTCTGATATCAACATGTTGCCAGGTGGCTACCCTGATGATTCAGTTGTCTCCTAGGTAATTATCGCCTGAAGCATTTAAGTCCTGCAGATGACGCCTTCAGGTAGACATATCATAAACCAAGGGCTTATGGCTTTATGTTCCCCTGGAGCACTTCTTTAACTGTCAGAGGCCTGGATAGGGGATGGATCACTAAATACTAATTCCTCAACTGGTCCCAGGGTTTCCTACATCAGCCAGTGAGACAGGAATGGAAACCACACGGTATGATTACACTGTATCTGTATAGAGGAGAATAACATGGTCCATGGAAAATTCCTAGCATGTAAAGACAGAGAGACTTGGGTTCCAGTCCCTTCCTTCTCTGCTATATC